CTTGTATTTTCTTACCATATAAACAGTGAGTCTATATCTGTCATCTCCTGTTAAGAAGAAAGAGATTCTAGCTGAAATCTTCTAGATTGTTCATTTGAGGTCAGGTTCATATTGCAATCCTGTGTCTATTTTAAGAATCCTTATTCAACAGTCACATGAGATCCCACAGTCACTTCACAAGCAACAGTTCGGGATTAATATAAATCACCATGGTTTTTCAGCCCCTTGCTTTTTCTATGATCCCGCAGTCTGGTTTGCTTTTTCTCCTCTAGGTTTTAGCATTGACTATTTTTCCAAAAGGGATTATTTAAAGGAATACTTTGTTTTGTGTTTTTACTTTCTGTGGTTGAATTTTTGATGAGCTTGTCCGTTTTCATTTTCTTGTGGCAAGTGAATGAGTGCATCCTGATACTCAGCTAGGCTGTCGGCTCATCACTGTCACAGGCTTCTCATCTGTCAAATGCTCTTCAGTGTCGTTCTTTCCTAAGGCCTTGCCTTCGGCCCTTTTCTCCTATTCCTTGAGTAGTTGCCATCTTCAACGCTTCATAATCTCAACTCCAGGATTCTAGGAGAGACTTAATCCTTTTTGGACCCAAGAGCAAGCCCCGGGTCATATGGGTCAGTCTGGTATTCTTCCTTTTGTGAAGCTGGTGCATGAAAAACAAGGCACACCAGAGCTCTTCCAACTTGACAGCTTGGCCTCCATCCCTGTGCTTTCATGAGGACACCAGTAGTGCAAAACATAGAGATGCTCCTTTTGCTTAGAGTAAGTCTGAAATACAGATTGTGGAGGCATCTGACAAAGCATGGGAAACTGTCACGTTCAGAATCCCAAGGCCTGGGTCTGAATCTCACTAGCCTGCATGTGCCTTCTACTCTCTGAACTCTCGCTTCCTTTTTTTGCAAGATGGAGATATTAGGCATTTTAGAGGCTCACACAGTTAAGTAGGGAATGTGTATGGAAATCCTGGATCCTATGCCTGATACAGAGCAGGGACTCTGTCGCAGGACAGGCTGATTTGTGTTCAGGTGGTCAGGATTTGATTGCATTCGGAAGAGGCATGTACATGTTTGCACGTTTGTTTGTAAGTGTGTTAATTGCCTCTTTAAATGAATTGTCATGGCTGTGTTATTTCAATATTTTGCTAGAACATCTGCTCACTTTTTGAAAAGGCTTCTGGTCGATTGGGCTGGTTCCAGTGGATTGAGGTTTTGGGGTTTGACTGAAATGAATGGCATTCATTGGGGCACCTAACATGTGCCAGCACCTGCCCTGGATGTGGGAGAGGGACAGGAAAAGAGGTGGCATTTGACAGACATGAACCATAGGTAGCCGGGATACTTTACTGTCTACTAGGAGGACAGGTAGGGAGCACCTTAGGCCCATTTTGTAACCTTACTTATTTACTGGACTGAACTTGCTGTGTGCCAGCCACTATTCTAGATGCTAGTGACAAGACACCTTCTCTCCTGCCCTCATGCAATGTGGGATCAGGAAAGAAGGAGATACATACAATGTGTAAAAAAATCACTGCAGGTGTAATGAATCTGAGAGGTACACATGAAGGGGCTGGGGTGGGGTCTTGGGTGACGGGGGGATTGGGAAGGCTGCCTGGAGGTGAGGAAAGTTGGCAGGGGTCCCTGCTTTCTGGGGTGATACCATACCCAGGGCTGATTCCCACCTAAATGGCAGTCAGCCCCAGGCCTTAGTGACAGCAGGGTGAAGACAGACATCAGTGCACCCCACGGTGCACAGAGCTGTGGTGTGTGAGTTGGGAGCATTCACTAGTGGGGATGCAGAGACAGTGAGCTTCTGTCGCCTCAGTCTGTGCCTTGGGGGACCCTAACATCTCTGGGACTCCAGGCAAGGAGAAGGCTGTCAATCCTAACAGTGGGAGGGCTACTGTGTGCCAGGTACAACTCTAAGCAATTAGATGAGGAAACTGAGGCCCCAAGAGAACAAAGTCACAGGAAGCTAGTGACTGGGAGAGCCAGGATTCAAGCCCAAGCCTTCTCTCTCTTCACCAGCATATCCACCTGCCTCCTACCTAGTCCCCAGGGCCATCTTGGAAGCTGACTGATAGGTCCGTGTTTATAGCATTTGCCCCCAGGCCCTGCATTCCATTCAACAACCTGGTTCGAGCTAAGCACTGGAGCATAATGATCAGAACTCACGACAAATGCTAAACAATGCAGCCTAAACCAGTTAACTCCAAGCTGGATGAGCCTTTGCAGGAGAAATGCCGGGTCATGCTGGGTGCAGCATGAGGTGCAGGGGAGACATTTAATCCAGCCTATGGGGCGAATGAGTAGCAGTGAGCTTGGAAGGAGAGCACTTGGTTAGCAAAGCAGTGAGGTCCTGGGCACAGGAACAGTCGCCGTGGTGGAGGGGTGACTGAGCAGGTGATGTGAGAACTTACAAGGTCATAAATGGGCCTCTGGACTTGATCCTAAAGGTAGTGGGAACCAACAGAGCATTTTAAGTATGGGAGCGGCATAGTGAGAGGAGGTCTTTATAAAGACCACTCTGGCTGCATGGAGGGAGCCAACCGGACAAGAAGGGATGAGAGGAACAAGAGAGACCAGTAAGAAGTTGTCATGTCCAGGGAAGAGATGAGGGTGGTCTGGGCTAAATAGGGCAGTGGGGGTGGAGGAAGAGGCAATGTTTTAAAGATATGTCGGAGGTGTTTTGTTGGATTTGAGAGGTGACTGAGGGTGAGTCTCGGGGTGGTGGAGGGTAGTGTCACTGCGGTGGGAAGACCCAAGTGCAGGGCAGGAGAAGGGGCAAGCTGATCATCCAGTGCAGGTCCTGAGTGGAGGTTGGGGAACCCACTTGCATCGCTGGTAAGGGACCAAAGCTGAGTGTGTAGATGTAGCACAAGGGTGGGAACCAAAAGTGAAACTGGTTAAGATCCATTTAGGGGACAGCACAGGGAAGAAAGAAAGGACAGCTCAGGACTGAGCCCAAGAAGCTCCTGTGTGAGAACAGAGAAGGCCGCTAAGTGCCAAGGTAGAAGCAGGTTTGCCATCTGTGAGTTCATCCCACAATTGCCTCACTGAGGGAACTAGTGAGCAAGAGGCTCCAGGGGCACAGGAGGCCTGGGAGGTAGGCGTCAGGGTGGCAAGGCCCTTGCCCTCTCTGGGCATGTTTCATGGCCATAAAGGGCAACCTGGGGCCTCCCCCCAGGGAAGGGCTCTTGTGAGCTTCACATGGACCACCTGAGCAGAAAGGTCTAGACACCAAGCAGGCCTCCCGGTGCACATGCCCCCTTCATGCAACACTGCTGTACCCAAATCCATGCTCATGCCATGCCCAGCAGCTACAAAGGGCCAGCCAGCTGGAGGCAGGCATGGGTTTGACCCGGTGACAGAGCTTGCTTAACATGGATACTATCAAGCATATTAAAAGCTGTTATTTTTATATGCTATTGTGGTGTAAGGTTTTCTTTTTTCTCGAAGGTTATTTTCTTTAAGACACACACACACACACACACACACACACACACACGCACCAGCCAGGAATGGAGGGGCACATCTGTTGTTATAGCTGCTGGGAAGCCTGAAGCAGGATTGCAAATTCAAGACCAGCCTGTACTACGAGTGAGACCTAGTCTTAAAATAAAATAATGAAAAGTAGTTTAGTATTTCCTCAGTTCAATCCCAGTACTGGGGAAAAAAAGGAAAAAAAGAAAAAAAAAAATCCACCAGTCCCTCTGGTGCCCTTCGTCAGCTCTGGAATATTCCCAGCCTTCATCTCTTCAGTTATTCCTCTGGCCTGTTCCCTCGTGGCTTCTCCCTCTTAGTGCAGGTTGGACACACGTCCACTAGACATTTCCCTCATCCTCTGTGCTGGTGGCCCCTCTGTCTGTGTTCTCTTTGTTGCTCTAGTTGAATTGTGGATTCGTCTTCCAACTCACACATCTGTCTTCTGTTGAGTCTTATCTCTTCCAGAGATTAAGGAAGACTAACTTCCCAGCCTAACATAACCATAATTCTCAAACCCTAAAAGGACAGTAGGAGAGAGGAAAATTGAAGCCAATCCCACTCGAGAATTTGATGGAAAATCATAAAATACCACCAAACAAAATCCGACACTATAAAAAGAGTAATACATAGTGACCACATGGGGTTTATTCCAGGAATAAGTAGTTATTTTAATGTAAAAGTTATTTGCCTGATTAACTGAATTTAAGGAGGAGTATTTGAACCTTTTAGTAGGTGCAGGGAGGAAATTTTGATTAAATTTAAAATTCCATGCACAATTAAAAAAAAACCTTACCATGATAAACAAGGAATTCTGTCCACTTATGGAAGAAGAATTCCCACTTTATGTTGAGATACTGAGATTCCCATTAAGGGAATCAAAGCAAGCATGTCAAGGCTCACCATTTCTATTCAGCATCATCCTGGAGGTTCCTGGTCAACTCAGTGAGATGGGGAAAAAGATAAACACATAAAAACTCAAAGTGTGACTCTGGTTTCCAGCTTGTGCTTCCGTGGGAATGTTTGTATCATTGACCAAGGCCAGAGCCACCAAGATAGGCGCTGGTTGGACTGACTGTTTGGAACACTTTGCAGAAAGATGTCTAGAAAGATCACAGAGTCAGGATGCCCCAGCTTCTTTCCCAGCTCTTCTGCTAGCATTGGATGGCTTGCTTTCCTCATTGGATCAGCATCCTCATCTGTTAAATGAGTGACGTTAGAATATGCACCCAGGTGGCCTGTGGGTGTCAGATCTGTGGGAAACAGACAGGAGCAGGTGGGAGGAGCCAGTCCTGCCCTCCAGGAGGCGGGCTCTGGGCAAAGAGCATCGAGTGGGAGGAGCATCTGCTTGGGGGCGGATCCAGGTGACGGGGTAGGGGGGGAGAGACACCTAGAGCCTTCTGGCATCATCCTTTCTCTTTGTTAATGGGTTGTTATGGTTGTCGCTGATGCTGTTAAGCATGTTCTGTAGTTTTAAGATCCTGACCCTTAACAACAATGCCTTTTTGATGTTTTAGACCTATAACAGCCAGAGTGAGAGCAACGAGGACTATGAGATCCCCCCAATAACACCTCCCAACCTCCCAGAGCCACCCCTCTTGCACCTGGGAGACCACGAAGCCAGCTACCACTCATTGTGCCACGGCCTTGCACCCAACGGTCTGCTCCCTGCCTATCCCTACCAAGCCATGGATCTGCCGGCCATCATGGTGTCCAACATGCTGGCCCAGGACGGCCACCTGCTGTCGAGCCAGCTGCCCACGGTGAGTCTCTGCTTCCTAGCATGGCTCCTGCTGGTCACAGCAGGGAAGGAGCAGAGGGTATTGCAGTGCCAGTGCTGTGATGTGAAGCTGCTCCTATGCAAGGCTGGGGTTCCATTTCTTGCTCACAAAGGAGTCAGCAGAATATGGGAGTGGCGCGGAGGGAAACTGTCACTGCGCTGCCCACTTTTCTGGGGCTCTGCTTACAACACCCTGGGACTTGTTTTATTATTTGTTAACAGTATAATTTCATTTATTTTTAATACCTTTATTGAGATACAATTCACATTTAAAGTGTACAACTCAGTAGCTTTTGTATATTTGGAATCACGTCACCGTCTGTAACATTTTGAAACACGCTTATCACCCTCCAAAAGAAACCTGTACCTGAGCTCATTGCTCCCAACCAGCCACCCACAATCCCCTGCAGCCCTATTAACTTTCCATCTATATATTTGCCAGTCTGACACTGCATGTAAGTGGAACCATTCTTTTTAAAGGTTGTATCTTGCTTAAGCATCCAGGGAAGAGGGTGATCACTGAGTTGAAGTTTGTGGGATAGGCAGAAGTTTTGCAGGCAAAGGCAGGAGAGAATCTTCCAGGCTCAGGGCAGCATGCACTCAAGGATGAGGCCAGGGGCTGCTGCAGTGCTTCAGAGCTGCGTTTGTTTCCTTCTTTCTGTTGCGCTGGAGAGCAAGGACCTGACGCCATAGAGAGAGAGGGGAGCTAAAAAGGTCTCAGCAGAGCCTGGGTCATAAGGCTCCTGAGTCTCATGCTAGGGGGATTCTGTTTGCCTTTTTCTTTTTTCTTTTCTTTTTACCCAGGTTTCATTTCTTCAGTTTTTCTTGTTTGAAAACTTTTAAATTTTTTTGTGAGTACCTGTTTGCAGTCCATAATGATTGCACCCAAGGGGGAGCTGCTAAATGTACGTGACACATCTTAATTCTTTTCATGTCCCTTTCATCCCCCTATCACTTGGTCTTCTTCCCATTTGCAAAAGATCTGTCTCTGTTTCCTATTATCTGTCTTTCATTTTGCTCTTTAGTTTATTTGGGTTTCTCACATAACAGAAATCATGAGATATTTAACTTGTGGTCGGATTTATTTCACTTAACATTATGGTCTTAAGGTGAGATTATGTTTTCTTAGCGTGAATGGCTCGTTCTCACCAGCAGGAACTACAGAAAATCAGTAGACCTTTGTTAGAGGGCAGCAGGAGGTACATAGAAACATCTCCTTAAGGGAATTCTCATATGTCTGCTAGAGACCTGTGAATTGACTGGTTTTTTTCCCTTCACTGTAGTAGTATATACTGGTCACCACTCTTTCTTTCATTTGTAAGTAACAGGAAACAGATTCACACTAACTTATGTAAAAAGATGAAAATATCCAAGGGCTGATGGATAAAGGGTATCAGGGGTGATCTGGCCCAGGTACTCCACCATGGTGTCCTTAGGCCCCCGGCTGCATCCCTGTTTCTACGGATCAGGGCTGATGACCGGAGCAGCCGGCCTACTTCCTGATGTCTCCAGCACGTGGCCGTTTGAGTGCTGAAGGAACACATGACTGGGCATTGCTGGACCAGCCCCTGTGTGGAGGAGGAAGCAGTCCTCTGTTTTATTAGCTTAGGGGGCAAACACGGCTGTGGCAGGAGGAAGAGCTGCCTACCTGCCTTTCCAATCAGAGCCACATGGTGGTGGGTGAACCGTGTTTACCTCTGCTACCACCGTGTATGAGCTGCAGCCAAATTTGTGGCCCGGTGCTAGCAGATGCCTGGGGCCTTTGGGCATGCTGTTTATATTCTAACCATATCAACTGTGCTTTATTTCTTTATTGTTTACTCTTCTTTTATTACCAACAAATTTTCTTGCTTAAAAACCCTGGTGTATTCGGTGTATTTCTGAAGCCAGTTGAGAAATAAAGGAGGAGGAGGGAGGGAGGAAAGCAACTCGAGATCCACATTTTATAGTGTTCTGTTCTCATGAAAGAACTCAGTGAAAATTGATGCTGATTTTGGAAGAATACTTTCCTTTTGGGCCCATCAGTCATACAGATTCCCAGTGACTTCTAAAAGACTTTGTGGTTGACTCCCTCGTCAACCTTTTCTGTACCTTGTTAGAAGGTTTGTGCGTTGGCTGTTTGTCCAGCTCAATTTGTCAGACACCCTCACTACTCCAAACCATCCCTGTTGGTGATTTATGACAAGACAAGAAAGGGTAGGACCAGAAGGACACCTTTGTCTTGTCCTTTAAGAGCCGTGGTGCAGGGCTGAGGATGGTACAGCCCGGAGCCACCTGTTGCTGACTTGTGGTGCTGGTGGCTAATGGAGAGTGTGGGGTAATGGTCAGCACATGGACTTTGGAGTCCCGTCAACTCACGGTAGATCCTGACTGTCCCTCTGGAGCTTCACTTTCTTGCCTCGGAGTCATAATTGTCAGTCCTCAAGGTCATCGTGAAATGTATCTGAGATAATGTATGTAAAGTCTTTGCAAATGCCTGGCAGAGAGTAAGCAATCAGGGAATATTTGCTGCTGTTATTATTAGTAATAAAAATGAATTCCCACTATAACCAAATGGCCGTTTTCCTTTTAGTGTCATTTACCCAAAGGGATAGATTGCATACACGCCTAGGTGCATTTGAGGATCCCTGGTTATTTAACAGCTCTGATAATTACAGTGCACATTACCTGCTAATCAGAGACAACCCCCTCGTCACTGCTTCTGTGAAGTGTTATCCTAGGCTCTGTGCAGACAGGCACTTTGCAGTTATTTCCCAGATTTCTTTGTAACTAGTTCACACTTAAAATGCTTCTCAAATGCTGATAGCCTTAATTCTCCCATTAGCCTGACTTTGCAAGGGTTCGCTGAATTTTATTTTCACTTGTTATGTTGTGAAAGATAAGCCAAACCCCATTACCCAGGGGAGAGGTCCAGACCAACAGGAAAACCAGATGAGAGCATGTGCACACATCGTGCTCTCTAGTGAAAAGACAAGGGGCCCTTGAAGACATAGTTGTTAGATTTGTGGGACCTTGCAGAAAAAGGGGTGTCTGTAGGTATACATGCTGTGTGGGCAGTGTTGGGATTCATGTTCACACCTGCTAGGTATCAAGCAATATGAATATTCTTTCACATAAAGTTTCCTCAGTGGAGGGAGGCCAGAGGAATTAGGATTTGCAAGGCAGGGAGACTCTCAGGAGGCAGGTGAGCATGCAACAAATTCCTCCAAACTGTGACTTACAACGACAGAGGTCTATTCTCTCCCAGATCTGAAAGTCCAGAATCAGTGGCCTGTGCTAAAATCAAGGTGCCAGGAAGGCCACACTTCATCCTGAAGCTTGAGGAGAGTTCGTCCTTGCCTTTTCTACCTCCAGTAGGATGGCTACCTTCCCCAGCTTGGGGCGGTGACTGTGCCCCTCCAGTCTCTGCCACATCTTCTGTTGCTTTCTGTTCTGCCTGTAGAAGCTCCATGTGCCCCTCATAAAAGGGCACTTGTGATGGCATTGGGGCTGGTTCTGGATAAGACCTTGAATTAGTCACCACCACAAGGACCTATCTTTCCAAATATAGTCATATTTACAGGTTCTAAGGATAGGGTCTGAGAGCTTTGGTGGGCATGGGGCATCTTTCAGCCTCCCACAGTGATCTTCAGCTGTGAACAGCCTTTATGGGGCACCTGCTAGGTACCAACCATTGCTCTGGGCTCAGGATTCAGAAGGTGCCTTTGGGAACTCCCAGCATAAATGGGAAGGTAAAAGGCTGGATGCATTGGTTTGAATGTGGGTAGTGTAAAGGCTTGGTCCCAGGAGTGGTGGATGGGGAGGTTCTGGGGACCTTTAAAAGGCAGAACATTCTGGGAGGTGCTCAGGTCCTGCAGGGTTGTACCCTCTGAAGGATTGGGGACCCGGGTCTCTTCCTCTCATCCTGTCTCCTGCTTGAGCACTCAGTTCTCACTTGCTCTCCTACCAGAATGTGCCTCGCTCACCAAAGGTCCAAACCCATGGTGCTGCCCAATCTTGAACTTGAACCTCCAGAACCATGAGCCAAAATGAACTTCTCTCTACTCATAAGCAGCTTGTGTTGGCTATTTTGTCATAGTAGCACAGAACTGACTAATGAAGCTGTCTCTGTAGATGCTGTCAGTGCTCTTCTAGGGTCTGCGTATGGTACTGTGTGTACTGGGAGAAGCCCAGTGATGGCAAACTTTTAGAGCTGTCATGATATAAACAGCCTGCCACGATGCACATGTCATGGGTTTACTGCCACTGCATCTTGGCTCAGATGTTGGGCCCTGTCCTCCAGGAAAGTGGTATGACAGAGAAACTACACAGTTGCTGGTGAATCCAAAGATCAAGTCTAATCGATCCCTCCAGTGCCCTTCTGTGCAATGGAGGCACAGATAGGGCTGACTATAGCTGAGGGTTAGCAGAGTAACCCTTGGAAACTGTCATCAACACTTCCTCCAGGAAGTGACGGCCTGGCACAGAATAGGTTCTGTAACTACTTTGTAAATGAATTAATGTCATCCAGCTCTTAAGCAACAAAACTAAATCAAACCCTCTTTGATCTCCTGTGACCCACAGGTCAGTTTCACCAGGCGATGAGGGATGGCACAGCCAGGCTGTGGCCACAGGTGGCACAGGGGATGCCCAGATGCCAGGAGCCTCCAGGTGTTGTCTGCACAGACCAAGATGCACCAGAGATGTTGCATCCCTATAGAGAGGGTGGAGCCAAAGTGCCCTCCAGCCCTCTGTCTCATCAATGCCAGATCCCCCGGCTAGGATCCCAGAGGCCAAGGGCTCTTTCTTTCCCCTGCCTGCTGGGCAGCTCAGCCTAGCAGACCTGTTGGAGGCAGCTGCTCCCTTTAAAGGGCTGGCTGCTGGCGGGAATCGTGAACAGTAGTGGAATCAGGCCTCTTTTACAAAATTAAATATGCTCAAGGCTCTTCCTCGACTTCGGCATCTTAACTGATTAAACATTCATTTCCAAGACAAAAAGAGTCA